GGCCACATCACTCCATCGGGGGCAGGTCTGGGACCGCCTTCATCTGCGGTAGACACTAACACACACAGGAGTGAGATTAGCCCCCGTGCATAGTATCCCGTAACTGGCTAACCTAAATAATACTTCTGAGCGGGCTACTGATGCAATTATATTTTTTCTCAAATCATCACAGCAAGAGGCCTGAATGTGTTTTCTACCAACTTTATCTGAAATGTATCAATGTCTGCTACTGATCCCCTCAATTATAACAGCTTAAGACTAGGTGAAGAGTAGTGCTGCTGAAAACTACACAGACATGGCAGCACCCTGTTCCAGTGCCTGTGCTGGGGTCCCAGGATGCCTCTCAGAAGTGCTTACAAAGGCGGCAGGGGGAGTGGGCAGGGAAACAAACCTGCAGAGAAGTGCTGACAACACAGTAAGACTAGGACACGAATATGGATATTGCGTAGTGGGTCGGGGTGGCAGGGAGAATGAGGATTAAATGAGAGAATTTATGGAAAGTGCCTGCACAGTGCCTGGCATGTAGTAGATGCTCAAGAAATGGTTACCAGTCTTATCCTCACTGTCATACATCCGGCTGTGTGCACAGAGGAGCAAGGCCTCTCTGCCTGTGTCTGATTGCCGTGCCTCCTCCCACCCCCTCCATCTGCTCCGGCCGGATTTTCCGAACAATGAGAAACACCCAATTCTTTCTCTCTGTGGAAGGGAAAAGCTGTTCCTTATGCCGAGAACCCTCTGTTCCCAGCTCTTGGCAAAACTGGCTCCATCTCGTCCTTCTGGCCTCAGGGTAAATGCCACCTCCCCAGAAAGGCCTTTCCTGACACCCCATCACCCCCAGAGTTCTTGTCTATCACGTCATACGGGCTATTTCCTTCTTTGCAATTATCAGAAACCGCAATGATTTGGTTTGTTTGTTTTGTTTATTGTTCCATTGGACTTCAAGCTTCAGAAAGAGAAGAGCCACCTATCACCTATGTGTTCTCCACTGTTGTGTCCCAGCACCCAGAATGTAGTTGATCTACCTCTGTCTTGGGGAGCTAGGAAGGCCTCCCACATAAAGGTGCATTTGACCAGGGCCTTGGAAGGGGAACAGGAGTTTACCCACCAGGGGCTTTGAAGATGAGGTGGCATCAGGCCTGCTTTTCAGTGGGAAGGAAGTGCTGAGAAAGGAGACTTTGCTGTGATGAGCAGCTCTGTCCAGGAGAAGACAGGCTCCAAGTCCAAACTGGAAGTACAAACAGAAATACCTAGGAGTGGGAGCGAAAGGTGATAGGCACCTCATCCCAGTATCAGAGACTGAGGGCTCAGGCCCCGCCTTTTAACTGGGTTCTCTTACCAGCCTTCTGAGCTGGAATTTGTTTTTTCCCATGTGACCTGCCCACTGGGCGTGGGGAAACCTTACCTGATGGCCAAGCCCAGTTTTCAACCAATAATAATGAAGATGAGAAGCATTACCATTTATTGAGCTTCTATTAAGCATCAGTCACCACGCTAGGTATTTCCTCCACAATATCTGTGTAAGCCACAGTCACTGCTCAAAGTTGGCATTACTCCCCCATATTCTGCGGCCGAAACTGGGATTCAAAAAGGGTGAGTAACATGTCCAAAGTCTCCCGGCTAGGAAGTGGTGGACGGAGTTTTAGACCCAGCTTGCATATGACTGCTCAGGCAATGCTCTTGACCTCAACCTCCTTCTGGCTGCTGTACCTCACAGGTGAATCAGTTACTTAGGTTTGGCTCAGACCCTTGGCTCAGACCCTTGTGGGTGAGTCATAAATCAGGCTGCCTGAACCTGTTCGTCCCTGGGAAGCTGATACTAACCTAATCCCTGAACTGACAAGGCCAAGGGTGAGGCTGTGGACTTTGGTAACCCCAGATAGGGCTGTTTCTCCCCAGGGCAGGACCTAGGCGTACTGTGGGGGTGAGTGGTTGCAGAAATCGTGCTTTGCTCTGCCATGGAGTGGGGTGGCTAAGAGCTTGGGTAGAGAGGCAGACAGACTGGTTTGAAATCCAAGTCCTGCGCTAAGTAGCTGTGTGACCCTGGCTTGGGCAAGTTACTTCACCACTTTGCACTTCAACTCTCACCTGTAAAATGAAGATGAGAACCGTCTCCTGGTGTTGCTGGAAGGATTAGGTGAAAAAACATAGGTAAAGTGCCAATCACATATGCTGGGCACGTAGCAAGTCCTCGGCAATCGGTAGACTTTCTTATCATCGTTGTTAATTTTCTTAAGGGGAGGTGTACATGATTGATTGGGTTTGAATCTTGGTGCCATTGCTTTTTAGCCATGTGACTTTGGGAAGTTACTGAGCTTCTTCTAAACTCCTCATCTTTAAAACTGGATAATTTAGGAGTGGGGAATCCAGTGCTCTCATACTTAAGTTAAAGTCAACTTCTGTTAAAGAATTGAGAAATGCCAGAGGCAGGAAATGATTCTCACTGCAAATGCACAGCATCTGCCTTAACTTCTGGACTGTCCGAATCTCATCAGGGCATCCGGGGTGTGGTCTTCAGAGTGTGGTTGTATCAGCTGATCTGAAGCTTTTGACTAGTCTGCTGTTTTGCTTTAGGCCAAATGAAGACTCCTGTAAGTAAGGAGCATATTAAGCACAGTCAGCTTGGGAGTCAGGAAAGAAAAGACCACAGAGAAACGCTTACACACCTATGCACACTGCCCTGGGCATGCTCAGCTTCAAGAGTTAGATGTGCAGCCTGTGGCCGGCCACCTGCTGTGGAAACGAGCACCCTGGCTTGGGTGCCAAACCTCTGGTTCTGCTTCCACGCTTCCAGGCAGCCTGTCTGCCCCGCAGTGCTCACCTCACAGGGAGAAAAGCTCAGATCACGGGCACCTCAGTCTCTTGGTAACATCTCAGACTCTGAGTGTGAGTTAATGTGAGTTAGTTCTGAGACACTGACCCCTTCTGCGAGCACCAACAACATTGAGTTTCTGGGCCTGCCAGACTGAGAACTCAACCTCGTCAGACAGGGGCCCCACCAAATTACCAACACTCTGAGACCCTGACAGAGCTGGCAACTGACTGTCCCAGACACCGCTGGTTTCTCGGTCACTTTCTTTATCCGTAATGATACCTTTATCTGTAATGATTGGGTAAAGGATTATACATCTGTGCCTGGCCTACCCTAGGTGCTCAACAATGCTGGTTCTTTTCCCATTTTATGTAAACTTTATGGTCTGCCTAGGCCAGGAGATTGTGATCACCTTAATGCCTGGGACCCTACCTCCTATTGTTCTGGTTTCTCTCCCTCACTCCCCAAAAAGTCCCTAGAACCTGACCTTGCCCTCAGTGGTTATCTTATCCATGCTGTGGGTTCTCACCAGCCCGATCTCTGACTACACATCAGTCGTGCCCTCCTGGTGTTCCCTGAGCTACACAACAGCAGCTACACAGTGGAGCACCCCAGGCCCGGTGCCATGGTGCTCAAATTCTAGAGCTGCCACCAACTCACTGTGAAACCTAGCTCCAGCCATTCCCATCTCAGGGCCTCCTTTTCCCCTTTTGTGAAATGAGGACACTGGGCTAACTCCTCACGTGTTGTGGTATTTGTATGAATGAATTACTCCTTCCGTCCATTCATTGCACTGACTCTCAGTACTTTCTCGGTGCTGTGTTCGGGAATATGGTTGAAAGAGAGAGTTGAATGGATGTGCCACAGGACTCAAGCCTCTCACACCATGGTCAAGGGAGAGTCCTTGGCAAAATATAATGCACCTTCTCAGGGAACAAGTAGTATAGCCAGATAGTATCAGGAGGACACTTCAAGCCTTGCCTGAGTCCCGGCACCTGTGACTTTGCAGAGTGGTGGGCTCCCAGAAGTCGGCCCTGCTTCCGGTGGACATGCACCCCCTCTCCAAGCATTACTCAGCGCCCTGAAATGTTCGCTGCCCCCCCCCGCCCCCCGCGCCAGTCCTCCTCGTCCTCCTGGAGCGCAGCACAAAGGTCCTGTTGTGGGCCAGCAGCCCAGGCAGCAGGCGAGCCTCTGGGTGACTCACTATCTTGCCATTTCCTTTGTGTGGCTCGCAGACTCCTTGCTGGAAGCCAGAGTGTGGCTGCTGGGCTGGGGGCGGGGGTGCCGGCGGCCCCTCTCCAGCGTCACCTCTCCGGGAAGGGGATGGCTCTGGGACCGGCGTGCCTTTTATGTGGCAGTGGGGCTCCCAGTGCACGATGCAAACTGAAGCCTAGAGCCCCCACAAAGACGGCGGCTGGTGCGGGGACTGCAAGATGTTTGCAGCCTCGCCTGGACAAGAATCAAAGCCCCCGCCGTGGGAGAGGCATGTGGTCCCCATCAGGCATTCCTCTGCTCCCGGTCCCTTAAATGAACACATCTTTATGAAAAGTGAAAATTAACCATGGAGGGGAAGGGCCTGGATGGCTAAGGAAGCAATGTGGGCTGCTGGCCTCCTGGGGAATCTACGGTCCCTGCTCAGATTACCTGTCAGCTGCTACAGAACCCATCTGAGCTTGAGGTATGTTCCCAGGCCTGGGGCTCCAAACACTCAGTGCCCTGGCAGGGACTAGGCTGGTTTGTGGTCAGAGACAGCAGGGCCAGGTGCACTTAGTAAACAGTGAAAGAGTAAATGATTACTGGTCCAGGAGCCCGGAGGTGGGTTCTTCTGTAGGTTGACTGCATGACCTCCAGCAAGTTTTAACAGTGGAATTTCTGACATCTGTGGGAGCAGGTCCTAAGCCATGGTTCCTAAGACCCTTCCTGGTCTGCCTCCTGCCTTCTGCTTTGGCTTTCTCTCTGCCCACCTACCCCTTACGCTTTATGCTTCCAGCCACTGTGAACGACTTGTTTTCTCCTGAGCATGCCATGCTCTAGCTCACCTCCAGGTTTTGCACAACCTGTTCCTGCTGCAAGGAAAACTCTCCCCATCCTCTTCAAAGGCACCTGGGTAGTCCTTTCCTTCAAGAGTCAGCTCAGGAAGCTTCTCCCTGGAGTCTGGCGTAAGTGCTTTTCCTCTGCTCGCCTCTGAGAACCTTTGCAAAGTCCTGTGAGAACCCTTACTATTCCCTGTTCTGTGATTCCTGCT